CAAACACATATCGTCACCAACAGTCTCAGCTGAAACAGCTGCAGATTCACCTACCTGAATAGATGAAGATGCAGCACTGGAGGGAACTGCAGTCCCCAGGGTCTGTTTCAGTTTTTTGACTGACTCGGGCCTGGCATGTAAGGGCAGCCCTTTAAGAAGTGTTGTCCCTCACATCTCAGGCAGACCCCCTTCTCCTTTCTTCTTCTCCAGACTCCCTCCTGGATCTTGAGGTCATGCCAGGGGAGCGAGGAGGGATTGAGAGGGTCAGCTGGCATGCGGACGTCTCTAGGCAGATTAGGGCGATGGGAAGAGGAAGGACGACGTCCCTTATGCTTCCCCTTAGTAAAGGCTGAGGTTGTGGAGGGGGAATACTTTTTCTGCGCTTGCAGAGCTCCTAACACAGCCTGAGTCACTACTGATGCAACATCTGTCTCAGCAGCAGATCCGGTCCCACCTGAAGGCAATTCAGGCTGTGAATCGGTATCTGATCCTGAGGCAGATCCCACCTGAGTAAGGGCTGCCTTTCCCCTTCTGTTGTCTCTAGGGAAGGCACCCTTCCTCCTGTCAGAGGTTGGGGCCTGGACATGGAGCTTAGCCTCCATTTCCAGGGCTGCACGACCAAAGGACCTCCAGTCCTTATACCCAGCGCTGTAGAGTGCAACAACAAATTTCTCAGGCGCTGCCCTGCAAAAACTGGTCAGCATATCATCAGGTGCCATGACCAGTCCAGGGGTGGAGGTGAGCTGCTCGAACTCAGCAAACAAGGCCTGTAGGGTGCCGCTGTACCGCTGCTGTCCCAGGTGAGCAATCCTGTCAGCAGCCTTGCGGGCCCGCTCCTTGTCTGCAAACCGGTCCTCCAGGGCCTGCAGAAGTTTGTCTACCCCTAACCCAAAGGCCCAGTCCTCCATGGACTGTTGCAGACTGCTGGAAGTTGAGGTGGCCCACTTCAATGCAGGCCCTTCCAGCAGCCCCAAAACAGTTGCCACCTTGGTCTGTTCTGCACAGACAAGCAGCCCAGTCCCCAACATCAGTCTTGGGGTCATCGCCCCTGAACTTGTTGGGAGCAGGGATCTTGGGACCTTTGTCTGCTGCAGTCACAGCAGCATAGGTGGCCTTTGCTGAGGCCTTTTGGGAAGGAGTAGATGACCGGGAAGAATGTACAGATCCCCCATGATATGTAGGAGGGGAAGGCGATGGTGAAGGAGGCGGAGAGGTTTTGGGTTTCAGCAGAGGAAGCTGAGGAGTAATCAATTTGGCGGCTGCCAGCTGAGCAGACAAGGCCAGGATAGAGTCTAGTATCTTGGACTGCTGAGCTGACAGCTCGTCAACCCGACGCTCCAGCCGCACAAAACGATCATCCCAGTTTGTGAACTGGGAGCTGGTGATCTTTGGCTCCAGCAGGATCATCTCAGCCATGTGCTTGGTGACCTGGGAGCATCGATCATCAGCAAGAGACTTGTCTAGCTGATGCAACAGATACTCCCTTCTGGAGTGATCTGTTGCAGCCTCTAGCTCAGCAACCTCCAGCCGTTCCAATTCAGCCACTCTGGCCTGTTGCAGTCTGAGCTGTTCTTCTGCCTCCTTCTTCAGTCTGAGTTGTTCTTCTGCCTCCTTCTTCAGCCGCTGAGTAGCAGTCAGAGGTGGAGGGGGAGTAGCGGAGGAAGAAGGCTGTTCACCTTCTGCCTTCACCACAACCTCTACATGTGGCTGCTGCTCATTCCCCTGATCCGACATTTTCCCAGTTCAAATAAAACCCAGAAATAAAATAACAGCAGAAAGAGTTGCAGCGATACACAGATTCCTGCAGATACCCTGGAATCGCTGCAGCACTCAACATTGGAGTAGGTGGGTGAGTAGGCAATCAACGGTTTGGGGTTAGAAGGGTGTCTCTGGGGTCAGGTGTCAGATAGACTGTCAGTCCAGCAAAATCAGTCACACGGTTTCCTTTTACTGACCCTGGACCACACTGGAAGTCACACAATCACTCCACTAGTTTTCTAGAGACACACTAGAAATTCCAGTGCCCACTAGAAACAAGTGTAATCAGTGGGAAGGATGGAAATGGTTAGTACAGACACAGAGAGATCAATCACAACAAGCGATGTAGACAGATACCCGATATCCTGACTCAGACTCAATTTCAGACACTGATGACTCTGGAGGCCATACCCTAGGGTATGGCGAATCACAGATTTCACTGTATCCAGTGAAATACGAGAAATCCAACTCTGTGATTTGACAGTACTGACTGTTTTCAAATTGCGATTCACTGGGGACTGACAAAACTGAATTCTGACGGACAGAATTGAAGTTATGACTGACCCTAGGTAGCACAAGCTAAAAATAGACTCGGCGCAAAACAACAATTCCCAGTATCACTACTTTTCTAGTACAAAATTCACTGTTTGATCATCCCAGAACAATCGCAATACAGTATAGCTGTTGCAGGACAAGTTTGGACTAGAAAGAGTCAACAGATGATGAGATATGAGGAGAGGGAGGTAGGGGAAGAGATGGCTATGGTTGTCATGCAGTCTGCGATTTTCATATCCAGTCACTGACAGACAGATAGACCATTATCTTTCACTAAACTACTCCTGTCTGGATCGCAATACAGGTAGGTGCATGGAACGGACTCACTTGCAGAGAATCTTGTAGTTGATGATGAAGATCTGGCTATGGCTGATGATCCCCTGATCTCGCCAATTTCCTCCAGAGCTTCTCCCAGACAATCCCACGCACAGAACCTCCTAAAAATTGTTGATCCTCTTCAGGATCCTGTGGCGCTGCACCCCTTCACTCCAGATACCCTGTATCTGGTCCTGTGGCACCCAACTCGCCAACTCCAAAATATCTCGCCACAGTGCCAGGTAGCCGCTGATGCTAAAAATAGCCCCAAATGGGGTTATTCCTCCTGGAGATTGATATCCTGCATCAATCTCTATCAGCGCCACCCAGGGATGATGCCGCTCAGGGTTCCCTGATGTCCTCAGGGGTAACTCGCCACTCTGGGTAATTCGCAGTATTACCCTCAGGGTTGGCTATGGCGAATTAGCCCTGTACTCGCCACTCCTTGCCAAGCGCCCTGACAGGCTCAGTGCGCTTGTTCAGTACAGCCACTGAACAGTTGAATTCACCGCTGAAAGTCTTCTTCCCTGCTGACTCAGTACAAGGGAAGATGAATCGCCATGAAGCTCTCGCCAGTATATCGCCAGGATGAAGAAGATGCCTCAGTGCGCTCAACCCTCAGTGCTCCAATTCCAATCTCGCTCCGATACCAACTGTTATGATCTTGGTTGTTTGACGAATTTTCTCGCCACTCACACACAGACAATCTCATACATGCCCATACATGCACAAGAGATGGGGAGAGAGGAGACAGAGTCCACACTGCACACAGGTGAAGATAAACAGCGGAAGACAATTATGCACAGCAGGGGAGAAGACACGCAGTGTTTCTCGCTCTCTGACACAACTCCCAACAACCAATCACAAGAAAGAACCTGCGAAGATCACAATTGAAACTGTCACTGATGCTGAACCACTCACACAATTATCGTAACAGAGTTTGTTCCAGTATCTCTCCACACTCAGAACTCACACCCCACTCTCTATCCTACACCCAGTTAGTAGCGATGCATCAGAACAGCCTCCCACAGGCCAGTGCCAACCACCCTGATGAAGAACAGGTCCTGCGATGAAGTCTTCAGTGCCGATGGACAACTCTGACGAAGGAACAGGCAGCTATGGCTGCCACCACCCACGAACCACTCAGTGTAGAGCCTCGAAGTAGCCCGGCCAGACGCATCTACCCCCAAGGGTAGATGCGCTGAGGGTGCCCCAGCTATGGCAGACTCAATAAGGGCCGGCTATGGCTGCTGTTGCGGACTGTCTCAGGATGCCGCCTGTAGACCGGTACCGCCACCAACTTCCTTGGCTTCTCCAATGCTGCTCGCAAGAAATGAACCGCCAAAAGTCCTGAACCGATGGGCCTAACCTATCTATAGACTACTAGGACTTAGACCGGACTGACTGACCGACCGGTACCGTTGCTGTTTCGGCCTCTCGGCCTCTACCGGACCCGGCTATAGGCTATAGGACCGTCTAGCAGCATAGGCCGCTTAGGGCCTGTCTGTCCTAGGGGTAGCCCGGGCCTGCTATCAGCAGTTAGGGTAGCTGTAGGAATTCAGGTTAGTATTGGGCCTATATTTTTCCAGATTTACAGATCTGTCCCTCTACAGGCAGGTCTCTCGGTTAGCCCTCAGCCAAGCAAAATTACGAATCTAACCTACCGGGTTAGTGTACAGCCTCGCTGTTAATTTCGGCAGCAGAAATCAGCAAGTCATTGCACATTGATTGTGTGTGTGTGTGTGTGTGTGTGTGTGTGTGTGTGTGTG